AAACCTTAAATATTATGTCAAAAATACAACCTGTATCTAAACTATAAGCAAATATCACTGCTCATTCAAAAGTTTCACAGCTGTGGGCAAAAAAGACCGTCTAATTATTTTTGTGGAGCATCTTGGCATCAGTAACTGGTCACTCGATGCACTACATAAAAAAAAAAAAGCTGACCTTTAAACCAATTCAACTGCTTTTCTGATGAATCCAGAGACAAACCAGTCATAACAAACATATCAAACTCTCATTTCCTCTTTAAATTTCTCAACACAAACATGAAAAAAGGTGCAAAATAAAGATGAAAGAAAATTTAAAGTCACTGTAAAAAAAAAAAAATCCAAGGATTAGATTCAGACATCACGTCAAGGACATAAAGAGATCAAATGTACAACATCTAATGCCTGAAATACAACCATAACCTATGCTGCACCTGCATGTAAATATCCTCTCTTGTACCTAAACCCCTAATCTTATCATACTGTTACATTCAATCTCTAAACTCTCTACATCAGATTCTGCAGTAATGCAGAGCTCTAAAAATATCTCTTGTTCAGTCTCTCTCAAGTGATTTCTGTCCGAGGTGACACTGCAGACTGTCAGTGTGTCTGACAGGACGTATGTGTTAATGTTCATAAAATTCAGCAAATTACAGGGTCTTGAAGGAAAGTTAAGTGCTGATAAAGACGCCCGTCGTCTGTCTCTTTCTCTCACTCACACAGACACACACACACACACACACACACACACACACACACACACACACACACACACACACACACACACACACACACACACACACACACACACACACACTTCTTACCCAGTCAGCATTTGTACTGCACCGTTGTGTTCATCATTAGAGCTTCTGACTGCAGCATTAAAAGTGATAAATGTGCACTGTTAGCTATATGTGACAAATGCTTCAGACTGCATAAATCACTTGTTTGACAGAATCAAATGATTAAAATGGTGATGAATTGAATGAAGGTATGTATATGCCACAAGTCCAACCTGAATATTTGCTATAAAGGAGAATAAACGTCTTAAATTCTGCCAATGATCTCTGGCGGCTGCAGAGTCCATTACAGCCCATAAAAGTATTGGATGGATGAACAAAATAATGATATTCTTACTGTGTTTTTTTTATAAAAGAGCAAAAAATGCCCAAGTAAATGGGCTCCTTCCAAAGATTAACATGTTTATATTTTGCTTGTTTAATCCATAGAAAAACTAAAGTGTAAAAACAACTATCTGTGGTCATTACAGGAGTTTCATGTGTAAGACTGTTCCTTAAACTAATCGTCTCCAGCTTCATATTTAGCATACAGACACGAAAGTGGATCAATATTCTCACCTCACTCTCTGCAAGAGAGCGAATAAGTCAAAATATCAATTCAAATGTTATTCAAGTGGACATTTTGACCCAGATGGAAGGCCAGAGGGTCATAAAAATCTTTCCTGTGCACGTCATTATCCAGACTGAATTTAATAGCAATCTGGCCCCTACTTGTCAAGATATCTTGCTCTGAATGGACCAGCAGACACACTTTGGCCCTCCTGCTGGAAAAGCAATAAAATCGGTGGTATAACATCCTGAACCCAGAGCGTTTGAACACCCGGCTTCCCTCTGAGGGCCCAACTCTCTCCAGTCCATCTGCTGGAGCTTCCACCCAATCAATCTCAGTTATGATTTATTAGATTTACTGTCAGGTTGAAAGTTTGGCTCATACAGTGTGGAAGGTTTTATTTTCCTGTTTATGCATGGTTTGTCAGTGAACACAGCAGTCTGCTAATCACACAAACGACAGTAAAGAAGAGCAAGTCCATACCTGTGGTTTTCTAACAAGGTTTCAAGGAGATTCGAGGATCCTGGAGGTGTTTCCCGCTGTGGAAAAAAAATGTGGAACACTGGATTTCACTTCACACTACAGCCAAAAAAAAACGGTTTTGATCAGCGTTTCACCCCCTTCTGTTATCTTCTAACTCTCCACTTGTACCGTCTGAGATAACATACTGAACATAAAATACATAAACAGGGATAAATCTTCAGTTTTTGTATCTTTTTTAAAAATATATTTAACCTGAGGTTTTCATCATCAGGCATAACATACATTCAAACATTTGATTAAAAATGTAAAATTAATCTTTTAAGAACATGAGAGAGACTGAGGCGTCTTTATGACAAAACCTTTATGAAACGAGGGTCTGCGATCTAAAGCCGACACTCCCTAGTTTGATTGCATGAAACAACCTACAACGACTGGTTTTCACATCTTTTTCACCGTGTTCGTGGATTGGACCCTTGTCATTCATGGCTGAACTGTCGTTACTTCTCCAAAATAGTAGCTATTATTTTCTTATTAATTAATCTGGTGATTACTTTTCAATGAAGCGTTTAATCATTTAGTGTATGAAATGTCAAAATATAGTTGAAGAAATCCCCATCACAATTTCCTAGTCTTAAAATTGGTTATTTTTTTGACCAAAACCTAAAACTTTTCAATTTAAAGTACAGTTATATAGTATAAAAGTAGAGGGGCTAATTAGATAATGTTTTGCAATTTTGCTTTAAAAATGATCAAAATAGTTGCAGATTAATATTCTGTCCAGTTGTGATTAATTTACTTTTACAGCCAACCATGTTGCAAGGCAAAATTCCTAAATCTTTAAACAATGTGACTTTGGTAGCTTTTTAATTTTACGGGTCTGCAATTTCCAAATGATTCCTTAATAATTTCAAAGGAGCTTCCAAGAAAAAAACTATGTAATGTGGTACAACGTATGCATAAAAGAGAAATGTCCTTAAAAGAACTGCTCCATTTAAACCCAATGATTGGAAACTTTATTCACCATATACGTATGTTGAATGATTGTTATGAGCTATCCTGCTGATGAAGACTCTAATTAACTGGAACCAGTTGTACCAGTTGTTTTCCGCCCTGTAGTTATGACCAAATTACCAAGATTTCCCAGGAAACATCTCAGAAATGATTTGGAAATTACAAATATATAAAAAAACATTACTGATGTTGTTTTTGGTCTTTGCAGAGGAAATCTGTTCTTTTGCTTCAATGTGGCATCAGAATACAGAATAACTTCCACAGAGCTACATTAGGGGAACAGTAGTGTCTTGCTCAAGGAAACTTCAGCAGGGTGGACACTAACAGAACACACACACACACACACACACACGTGCCATTTTACATGCCACCAATCTGTCAACAATCACAGGTACTAGTGGTAAATACATTTCAGCCATAAACTCAAAATATTTGGAAATGCTTCAAGTGTCAAGCAGCTTTGATTGGACATAAAACGACAGAAAGTGATTTTTTTCCCTTAGTTTTGGCTGCTTCCATCTGGTTCTAAGCTGCCAACTGAGCCCTGAGAGAGGTGAGCCGCTGTGGAGTGCAGATAAGGCTCCACCTGCCAGCCATGCTCATCACTGTTTGTGTGTTTGAGTATGTGTGTGTTTGTCTGATCCTGTGTGTATAGGTGTGTGTGTGTGTGTGTGTGTGTGTGTGTGTGTTCCTATCCCAGGTCTGCCAAGATAAGTGGCTCTCAGGAACCCAACCGTAAAATCTGTGCTACACTAAACACCCAACAGAGATCGAGTCAAACAGTAGAAAGGAAAAATAATTTTTTTTATTCTGAAAAACATTTTTTTCAGAATAGACTGAAATATAAAATAGGTAAACAGAAAGGTAATTTCCTCTACAGCAGCAATAGAAACACTTATCAGCTCTCTACTGTGTGGTAACATTCATTAAATGACTGGCAGCTGGCCTGAGGTCTGGGGAAGCCCATTTACACCACAGAAGTCCCTGACAAAATTATGAGAAAGATTCTTGTAATTATGACCTACTATCATATAATTATGACCTGACATGTCATAATTGTGCCATAAAAGTATCTGATGATTTAATTTCTCATAATTCTGAGAGACCACAAAATGATTGTACATAATAATGATCTGATACTAAGTCATAATTATGAGTAACAATCTCATACCTATGACTTATTTATCTATGATTATAATTTTGAGGATAAATGAGATAGTATTTTGTAATTATGAGGTACAAAGTCAAAATTATGATCTCAAAATGATGTGATAGCCTTAAAATGATGTAATACTAAGGCATAATTATGAGAAACGAAAGGTATCTCACAATTATTTCCCATAATTATGGGATACAAAGTCATAAAAACCTGAGTTATCATCTCATGATTACATTTATTCTGTGTCTTATGAGAAACCATTCTGAGACAACATATCACCATGTCTGAGATACAAAGTCATAATTATCAGACCATTGTTATATACAGACTCAATTATTTAAAGTTTTCTCATAACTATAAGAAAAAAACACATAATGAGAGAAGGAATAGTGGAAATGGAGAGGTCTGAGGGGAGTTTCTCTCCTCATTGAGCAACTAAAACATTAAGTACAACCTAGCAACGATAATCCTGGTTTCCTTCTTTTTTTATCTCGTAGAGGTAACAAAGAAACATCTCTTTGTTTTTACAAATAGATTAAAACCACAGGCTGATCTCTCTTTACAAACACACAGCACACATACAGTAAACAATACATGACAGATCATCTGTCTTTGTATTGCTGTTCACACTAATAAAGTCTAATAAAGTCTATTTATCTCTTCTTCAGAGAGGCACCATAACACTATCTCCCACGCAGCTCCACACCCAGACAGAAACAAAACATTTCTACTTACATTCTGCTGAGAGAATCTCTCTGCTGTGTCTGCAACTCTCCATTTCTCACTCGTTTTGAGGAAATTACAGGAAGTGTAATAGGAAGTTGCTTCGTTTTGTGCACATGTGTCATGTTCCGTTGTCGCCTGCCTCTCCAAGACTCTTTGAGAAATATTATGAGGACAACTGGACTCAAACGGACACTCCGATGGGCAGAGACAGGGTGTGAATGAATGTGTTTGTTTCAAGAAAAGGAAGCGGGTATACCACGAGCCACAGGTCATGCCTGTAGCAGCATGAAGAAGTGTGTGTGTGTGTGTGTGTGTGTGTGATCTTATGGTGCAACCATGACAAGAACAGCAGTGACTAAACTTCTCATCCTCGTGATCCTCGCCTTTATCATCTGCCTCCCAGAATTCTTCAGATTGTATGAAGGTAGGTCATCCAGGCAGCTGTGGATGAATTGTGTGTGTGTGTGTGTGTGTGTGTGTGTGTGTGTGTGTGTGTGTGTGTGTGTGTGTGTGTCTGTGTGAGTGAGAGAGACAGACGACGGGCGTCAGTTAACAACATTTTCCTGCTTTAAAATGGAAGAACCGTGGCTGTGCTTTGGCTCCGTTTTGCTATAAGTTATGTTCAGACTTTATATCAAACGTCACCCTTTAAAAGAAGCCAACTTTATGTTGTTGAGTCACTTTGTCCTGTTTCTTCCTCTTCATGTAGACTCTCTAATTCAACCTTTCTCTCTCTGCCTTGAGCTAAAAGTCACTCCCAAATATAGCTGCATACAACGCTGACTGACAGCTGCTTTCAAAACGTTTCCGTATTGCCTTGAAAAACTTCTCTTTTTGAGAGCAACTTGCCGTTGTACTATGTGCACATGTTCACCATCAATAGTTTTGCTCTTTGTCTGTGTCTGTCTGTGTCTGTCTGTGTCTATCAGATATAAACTGGAGGCAACTGCTCACATTTTGAGATCTTCCTCTGATTTCTGACTTTTTTTTGCCTTTTTTCTGCTGAGAAATCCTTCTGTATTTTCTGTTGTTCATTCTCTTTCTCCTTTCAGCATCAAAAGTTAACTTCCTCTGTCTGCCCTACCGACCCTGTGAGCGAGGGAATCAGGTGAAGACGGGGGGAAATGGGAAGACTGTGGATGCTGAAATTAGGAGAAAGGATATGTGTGACCCTTTACAGACTCCAGAACTTGATAAGTGGGAGAAGACCTGCACACAACAGGGTCAAAGCAACATGACAAATCCTGCATCAGACCCAGAAAGGAAGTGGTTCATCTGTGAAACAGATATGGACATGGAAGAATTACACAGAAACATCTCATCTTCAGGTATTGAACAATTTTCAAAGATAAGCTTTTGTTGTTTTTACCCATGAAAGTCCAGACTGAAATATGTATTGGATGGATTATAATGAAATTCACAGAGGATGAATCCTAATGACCTCGGTAATCCCCCTGACTGTTCTTGAGGTTGATATTTCTGGTTTTCGCCTCATATCATTTTTAAGAATCTCCAAGTTAAACTTTGATTCATATCATCAAAATCTTAATCTGACCTACTGAATCAGGACCTTCCTTATTTGAAGTATAGGAGGCAACAGCTGTTAATATAATGTGTCATTTAATGGACATTTAATAGCCTGTATTATGCTGCTTACTTCAATGTTAATGTTTTAGGTTGTGAACACTGATTAGGCTGCCACTAAAAAACTGTTTTCTGCTTTCTTAGCTAACAAAAGATATTTGAGTTGAAGTGGATTTTAATTTTAATTGATAAAATGTTACAGAAACCCATCCCTAGTGCTAATTAGCAAATGTAGCCAGCAAGTGGACTTTTGAGCGCAGACTGCAGCTTGTAATTATGTCAGTTTTTTAATCTATCTATCTATCTATCTATCTATCTATCTATCTATCTATCTATCTATCTATCTATCTATCTATCTATCTATCTATCTACAGCTTTAAAGGTACATTTCGAGGTGTCAGTGGAGCTTCAACTCAGAGATACAGAAACCTCGAATCTCACCTTGTACGGCTGCAGTGATCACAGCTCCTTGTACCTCCACCCACCTGAGGAGGACGAGGAAGAGGAGGAGGAGAAGAAGAAGAAGGGTGATGAAGGACAGGGGAAGGCATTTTACTGCTGTCTCCCTGTCCCGCCCACCCCAGAATCAGCCAATCAAAGCCGATGTCTCCTTTGGCTCTCCAATCAAACAGTTTGGACTGCAACAGCAAAGGAAAAGCTGCCATGGAAACGGACAGCGAAAGGTTGGTGCCGGGATGAGAGAGCAGTGCTTTCTTTTGTTCCCTGAGTGGTCAGTGTGGCTTCACTTCAAGATTGGGGAGGAGAGGAGACAATAAGAGACCAAGAAGTTGGCCAATCAGTTTTCATTTGAGCTGAAATTGATTCAATCTCAGTCCACAGTGGAGCCATTTTTTTCAATAGAACAAATTTCCCTCAGTTCTTCTTCATGTGACTCAGCTCTGTGACTTTGTGTCCCTTCCTCTGTCTGTGCTGTGTGATCCGAGATCCGAAAGTTACAGTTCGTCTTAATCTACTGTATCTCCAAGGCTGCATTGATTTTGGCGTCCTTTACTGCTATTCAGCTCTCCAACACTCCCCCAAGCTTACAGCTTCGACTCAAGTCATATTTTCCAGTGTGCGTTGAAAGCTGGATATCCATCTCACTTTAATTTTTCATTCCAATTTCCACCAAGCTTTTCCATACCCTCCCTTTCTGTTTCTTTTTCCTGGTCATATTTGTGGGTTTATCTTTTGACTCCTGCTATTATTTCTCTTTTGTGTCATTTCTGCCTCTGGTGTTTCTTTTCTCTGGTTGGATTTATTTCTTCAGTTTATTTTCTTCTCTTTCCTGCTCACCAATTACACCCGCGTCACTGTATCTCTTTTTAGATAAGAATTTAGTCATTATGTGCACCTCTTACGATGAGAAGACTTTAAAGGTTTTTTTTTTTTAGCTGAAACATTTAGTTGATTAATTAACTGATAAGACGACTGAACAATCAACAATAATACCAAATACCTGACAAAACAAACAATTCAAAACAAGAATTCTTCTCATAATTGTGACATCTTTTGTGCTTTTTTTGGCATTGTATAGACTCACAAATGTATTGTTTAATGAAAATAATAATTGCTGCAGACCTTTTCTCTCTGCTTGAACCCGCCTTTATCCTCCAGATGAGTGGCGGTGTGTGTTCAGGGTGCTCTGGCTGGCTCTGCTGTGTGTGGTGCTGCTGACTATTGTCACAGCTGTGTTCAGAGAAATCTACAGGGGGAGATGCAGTAAGACACACACACACACACACACACACACACACAAACACACACGCTGAGCTTGATCTTTTGAAGCTGACCTGAAAATGTCTCTTATTTTTGTCAGAAAAGCCCAAGGTGCAGCCTGTTGGTTACAGATTCACTGGTCAGCTGTTAAACGGTAAATTACAATTTGTGCCCTCTGAATTTTAAATTTTTTCAAGAACAACTTTCTACTCTACTTCACATTTTCTTTGTTTCCCCTAATGGCTGTTCACTTTTGCCTCTGCAGAAAAAACAAACTTCTTTCTTTTTGTTTTTGCATGCATGCGATCTATAGCACAGTTCCGATGACTTTAGCTTAAAGTGTCTGATGCTGACTGTATCAGAGCATCTTCAGCTCAGCCCACTTTTCATCGTAATAGTGAGAAAAGAACACGAAAGATAATTATGTGTCATTACCTTCTGTGAAAAGTGCCCATGTGAGTCAGTCATTTTTCAGAATTATTATGTTTTCTCCAAAGATATGAGGAAACCATACAGACTTAATTTTTCAGGGGAGGGACTCGTTATAAAATGAGTAATACTAAATGTTTCTCATGATCTTTGAACTAGATGGTGAGAAGCAGAACGCAGAAATCACTCACAGAGGTAACTGACTTTGATAAATAACACAATAATACTACATAAACTCTACAAAAGGTCTTATTTTGATATGATTGTAAAATGTATATTCTAATTACCTTTTATAGGGAGCCTTCACTCCAATGGGTCCCGGTTTTGGTCAGGTCAGTCCCTAAATGCATACACACGGTGTGAATGAAAATCATATGATTAATCTGTTGTTTGAGATCTTTGACAACTTTTTTTTTAATGGACAGCTCTGTCTCCCATTCAAGAAGTTGACAGTCAAGGTAATGGCACACACACACACACACACACACACACACACACACACACACACACACACACACACACACACACACACACACACACACACACACACACACACACACACACACACACTAAATTAATCGGATCACATGCTCAAATAATTCTTTCACTTTGTGTATTAATGGTCTTCAAACATTTTTCAGATGACATAGAAACTCTGATGGATGGAAATGTCGACCACTGTTATACAGGTAAACTCGTAGTTTGAAAAAGAGGGAAAGATATAGAAAAGGAGGAAAATTCCTCTGTAATGCAAACAGGAATATTAGTGGAATATTAACTTTCAATTGCCATATAAACAGCTAGTAGGAATATTGTCTTTTTTCGGAATAAAGGCATAACCGGAATATTTTGTGCATGTAATGACACCTGGCAGGGGGTAAAGGGAAAGGGCTGGTTAAATATGTAACGGGCTAATGAAGGAATGAGATGCAGGTGAGGACGGTCAGGTGACTGCAGAACAGCTGAGGGAACAGGTGTGTAAATGGGTGGAGCAGTCAGGTGATTGGGAAAAGGAGGGAAAGTCATCAGACATCTGATGGATGGGTGGAAAATATGTATATATATATATATATATGCATCAGAATGTATTTGTTGATAGTATTTTGTATTGATAATAGCCAGTAGTTAAACTGAGTACTTTCAACCACTGATATTTTACTAAACAGTACCTCCATCCTTACTTTTACCTGATACTCTACCTGGTTTATGTTTTACTATAATTTGTACTTCATATTAAGTGTTTATAAGATCATCAGCACGGTTGAAGCCTGAATGAAATGCACTGCAACAGGAAATCAAATGTACCTCATGCTGAGTTAACCCAACACTGACTCTTTTCACTGCAATATAACTCCAGTCTGTTTATTATATTTTTTTATCTGGTCTATATTTAGCAAATCTGCATCATCGCATCCCTCCACCTCCTCCCTCATAGAGGAGCAGGCCTGGTGACAGAGGAGCAGCCAGAGGAGCACAGAAATGGACTTAAAGTGCACTGGAGGAAATTAAAAATGACTGCTTCAATTACCAGCTGCCTTTAAGGGGAAAATAAAAACATCTGAGGCACATGAAGATGGTTAAAATATTTTTATTTTCAACATGTCATCCTCAAACAGTCTTAGGGCACTTTATTAGAAGGGAATCTTATTACATTAGTAACCTGTCCAAACCTAACAATAAATGACTTGGCTCTCAAACATTTTTCATTCAGCATTACAAATCATTTGTAGGGTGAAGACCACAGCTGGTAAACAGCCTTACCTCATCTGGCTCTAGCTGAAAGGAGCCAAAACAATTACAACAGGACAGAAATATATTTTCTTTGCTTAATATCTTTCTTGCCACTGTCAGTTTATCTCCAAAAGGAAGTAAAGTAAAGTAAAGAAGGGGAAGCAAGTACTTTATCTCTTCAGAGATCAATGTATCTGGGGGCTGGAAGCTTAGAGCCAATTTAACACTGGATATTAAAAAACATATGCACTGCAGCATCGTTGGACTGCTGCTGAAACTCCACAGGTGGTTGAAGAAAAAGGGAAAAAAGGAAAATGGGAGATGAGATATAGACCTCCGGGGGGCAAGAAGTATCTGAATCTAAATCCTGTCAGCATTAAAAACTTTTATTCAGGGAAAGTTGGAATACAAAAACACCCACATATCTCATGTCTTCATCAAGGTGTTCAGATTCTCTCATTTCCTTTCTTGCCAATAGTTAGATGAGCAGATCGATACCATTTCACATCTGTATGGTAAATATGTAGCTAGCAGCCAGTTAGCCTGACTCTCTCCAGAGGTATCAACATCCACCATCACTAATCAACACATTACCAGTATATCTTGTTTGTTAAAGTGGCTATAATATATTTATTTTTTATGATAACGTATCAAATCACAATGTGAAAGGGGTCGCTCGTAATGATGAACCTACAAAGAATTACCACCTGTATCTGCAGCTCCCCTCTGCTTTATGGAGCTTTATACTGAGTTTCAGCTTATTGTTTAACTGTTCACCATATCAAGGATTCAAGGTTATTTAACTGTAATTTACAACTCATAGTTGTATAATGAAATTCATCTTTTTTCTGCTGAACCCAAGTAGCCAAAAGTTCAGTTACTGCAGGTTTAAATCTGTACTACTTCCTGCACATTACCCCCTGTAACATTGTTTATGACGACGATACAATGTGCTAATAAAATATATTTGTACAGAACCAGGCTAGCTGTTTCTAGTCTCTGTGTTAATCTATAAACAGCTGCTGGGTGTAAGTTTCTGTTTATCATACAGATATGAGAGCGGTTATCGATCTTATCTAACTCTTGCATGAAAGCGATTCATTTAGTAGCAGCACAACAAAAGATAATTAGAGATGAATTCACCTACATTACATTGTCAATGTACACGAGAAGGGAGAAGGAGAACTAAATATTTCCTAATTTAAAGTATGAAGATCAGATTTTTCTTTCAAATCAAACTGCATAAGAGTAAAATATAAGGTAGTGTTTCTTCATATAATTTAACATAAAAAAAACAAGCATAGTGTATAATCACTAATACTGGCATTTTGTCTCAAACCAGATTAGAGCAACTTCACTAGTGTCAGCCAATGCTCTTTCTATTGAAATAACAATGGACCATAAGGAGTGCAAAGAAACTTAACATACATTAACGTAGAGTCCCTTCAACACAATCAGTAATTTTCTGTTTTTGGTTTAGCCTTTGGAGACAAAAGAGAAACATCTTGGTTGGTTAGAATCAGTCACAGCTGAGCTCGAATTAGCTCTGAACGTTATTTGGTTCCTCAACACAAAAAAATCAACTGCTAAATAGAGTCAAAATAACAATCAGAGATACAACGAGGAAGAGACACACGTACACATACATACATGTGGGTCACTTCTACGTGTAACTACTTGTTAAATTGTTATCTTTAAGATTATATTATGTATATATAAAACATCTTCTGCCTGTTGCTATGGCACTTAATGGAGATTTAAAGCACTTCATCTGGAATAATCTATTCTCTTTACTGTACAACAATAGATACATTAAGACAAGCAGGTGAGCAGGTAGCGCGTGTGTGAGTGTGTGTGAGTGTGAGTGTTAGTGCTGTGTCTGTGCGTCTGGTTCTGTGGTGGACCGACAGTGCTGGCTCTGGATGTGGGAGATCTGCAGGACAGGCAGAAGCAGCTGAAATGCATTCTGGATGTAGTTGTTACTGTTGGAGCCCTGCAGACAGAAGACAGAAACATCATCGTCATCGTCATAGTCATCATCATCATCATCATCATCATCATCATCATCATCGGTTACAGATGTGTATTTAAAAATATACCAAAAGGGAAAGGTAAAAATGAGTGTACAGTTGAGTGTAGTTATTTGAAGTTTTCCACACAGAGGGAGTGAAAATAATATAATATAATACAGATGTATTCTAAGTGTAAAATGGTCTTTAGCGCACCAAAACATATAAGCAGCATGAGAACATGTAACATATATAACAAGCACAGAAACAAAAACCTCACTGCATTATTAAAAACACAGTACAGTAGTAAAAAGTGCTCACTAGTACAAAATACTAAAAACAAAGCATGTTGATTGCACTTGGAATTAAATGTATTTGAAGTATATTCTATATATTATTATATATGTATATTATATAAAAAGAATAAATTTTTAATGCTTTTTTCTTAATTTACAAACATCTGTTTACACGTCTCACCTCGTTTCTCATTATCAAGTGAAACATGATCACTTATCACATTCGTCAGAGTCATTATTAACACATTCTTATCAGTCATTATCAGGCTGAGACTGCTACGTCGTTAAAGTCCTTCATCGTTACTGGATAATGATCAAAATCATCAGAGGAAAATATCTGTGCATCTCACCTCTAGCAGCACACTATCTACCAGTGGATTCAACTCCTCTGCTTTCCTCTGGCCCTGAGAGACAGAAAGCCAGAGATGAGAGACAGGAAGCAGCAGTGAGCAAAGATGTAAGATATAGGTTGGAAAAGACAAAAAAACTACAAAGACAAACATTAAAGGATACTGCTGTTGATATTTTAGATTTTTTTCTCATTCTCGACAAAAAGTGTGATATACAGCTGCTTTAATCCTCTGCGCCAGAGACCTCAATTATATTCTCGTACTACTCTAAACACATTAACGAGCCACACATTTCCCCCTAATTGCAAGGGAAGAAGCTGTTGTTGCTACTTGCCAACAAGATACTTAAGTAACAAAGGATGAAATGTGAAACACAACATGACATATTATACATACATATACATATTATTTAAAAAAAAAAAAAAAGAAGCCATTTTTCATGCTCAGTAAGACCCAGTGGCCTTGAGGCTGAGACCTACAGGGATGTTGGTTTTGTATTTTTGGGATTGTATGTAAATGTAAACACCAGCCTTCTCCTTTAACACCCCTACTATTCATACAGACACACACACACACACACACACACACACACACACACACACACACACACACACACACACACACACACACACACACACACACACACAATCCTTCTCACCTACCCCAACAAGAAGCAGTGTATCAGAGAACTTCTTGGCCAAACACTCCACCTCCTTACACATGGCGCATGTCAACCTGGAATAAAAAATGTAGGTTTTTAGCAAGAAAGCCTCTCACTTGTGTTTTCATCACTTTAGAGGACATTACACTGACTTACATTCATTCCCTGGAGACTTACACTAATCCTAATCCTAACACTAACCACAAGTCTTCCCCGTAAAACGTAATGATTTAAGTTGTGGGGGACGAGTCCCCACAATGTGCCTGTATAAGAACAGATTCATGTCCACCTGGTGAGGATGTGTGCCTGGTCTTTGGCTGGTTTCTCCAGCTCCTGGCCGTGGAGGATTAGCTCTGCCACCTTGTGGAGCTGCTCAATACTGCGAGCCGTCACTTCTGCCAGACTGCCGACTGATGACAGGTAGACAACCTGGAGACAGGGAGACGAACACACACACACACACACACACACACACACACACACACACACACACACACACACACACACACACACACACACACACACACACACTAACTATTAAATACAGTCAGCCTGTGACAGCAAAGGAGGGGGAGATTAAATTAAAAAGAAAATAAAGAAAAACTGTCATTGTTGAGTCGACTTCACCTCTACAGATTTGGGGTCTTTCTCTTTCTCCTCTTTTTCTTCCTCTCCTTCCTTCATCTCCTCCCCCTCGCTCTTTCTCTCCCCCTTCTCCTCCCCGTCTTTCTTCTTCTCCTCTTGCTCGTTCTCTCCAGGTGAGGCATCTCCTCCCGGCTGGTCCTCCGTTTCCCTGCCAACCGTCTCTGTAGTGACAGGCTGTTCCACCTCGCTCACCCATTCATGGGCCCTCATCCGAGCCTGGAGATGCATAATTACCACCCATCAGCTCTGCATGGTGAGAGATCGCCATCCTGATGTATGCTAATCAGATGCGTATACACGGTTATATGCTAATGTGGGTGCTATATATATATATATGAATTTGAATATGCAGAAGGACTTCAAAGGCGATAACTTTTACATGACTTATGCAGCAGGGGACAGTGGATGTTAAAAAAGAGTTGTGTCTCTCTGTGTGTGAGGACAAAGTATCTAATAATAAAGGGAGAAAACTGAGGAAAAGGTGATGGCATTTTGCAATTTAAGGCAAGAATTAAGTTTATTTTGAGGGTTAAGGGAAACTGATGTACTCTGAGAGGCTTTCTGTGTTTGTTACTAAGTTTGTCTGTGATGATCGATGAGTTATTTTATAATTAATGGTTGTAATTCACTGTTTGGGGGGGGGAGTACCTTCATTCTCTCACTGGACTTTACTTCTACGCACTAATTTTCTACATTTCCCAGAATACTGGTTTCATGCAACAGTTGGTAGCACTAACAGTGCAATGTATTATTATTTAAATGTGGAAACAACAATAGCTACAGAAAATGTTTGAAAAACTAACCCTGGTGAGAAACAGTAGTATAAGGAGTCAGGAGAATAACCAAAGTGACCTTTACAATGCTTGTTTTGTCCAAACCTCAAAATTATGATAAATAAATTAAAATAATTGAAAGGAAAAGCAGCAAATCCTCATAAATGTGGAACTGGAAGCACAAAATGTTTTGCATGAAAAATTACATTATGATATTTTGACATTATCAAAATAGTTGCCAATTACTTTTCTGTCAAGTGTGTAATTGACAAATTTACTTAATTTGTAAAGAAAATAAAGCTGTCAAATAACTGTAGGTTAAAGTATTTCTTTGTAAGATTGTTAAGAAAAATGCTATATAAATAAAGATAATCACATTATTATTATTACAAAGTGGCACAAAAAGACTTTAAGTACAAATACCTCAAATTTCCTAAAACCACTGGTATTAGGAAATTAATTATGAATCAATGAATGTGTGAATGTGTGAATGTGACTCACCTTGTTGAGTTTGTCTGGCGTGGCAGCAACATGAAGCTCAAACAATAGCTCAGTGAGAACGCTCACAAACTCCTCGCCATCAGCCGCTGGCAGAAACACACACACACACACACACACACGTATACCACATGTTAGTATACTCTAATCTACACAGTTAAAGGAATAGATGCAATAAACTGTGAAATTAGAGCAGATTTGTAGCACGTGCAATTGTTTGATTTCCCCCATGCTGAGATCATAATGATAATTTTCTTGTTTGCCTTCAGCTAACAGCACAACAGAGACTTGGTGCACTTCGGATTCTTGTTTTCGTGCCAAATTAATTCAAACGCCTGTATATAAATTAGAATTAGAGCTCAATGTGCACGGCACACATGCAGATGTAATGTCTTGATCTGACAGATAGTTTCTGTTGGTTTTGTTTTGAGTCTGTGATGTGATGTGAATGTGTCAGTGGCCCCGAACACCAACACTGGATCAGCCACCATATTT